AAGAGAGAGAGAAGGGGGGGGATTAGTGGTAACTCACTTGAGCAGTCTGTAGTAGCCGTATCTGAAGGTCTCCTGGAGGAGGACAGAGATGGCCGCTCCGAATATGAGTAATCCGTACTGCAGGCTGGAGTCATTCTTGTTGCTGACTTGGACTGAGATGAACCAGATCAGAGAGGAGAAGAGGACTGAGACCAACCAGAAGAAGGAGCTGCGGGAGAAGAACAAGGACGGGTCACATCCTGAGCGAGGACTTCCCCGTCACCCCTCTACATGACAGGGGCCCCCATATACACCCAGCACTCATTATGACAGGGCCCCCCATATACACCCAGCACTCCTCATTATGACAGGGCCCCCATATACACCCAGCACCCCTCTATATAACAGGGCCCCCATATACACCCAGCACCCCTCTATATAACAGGGCCCCCATATACACCCAGCACCCCTCTATATAACAGGGCCCCCATATACACCCAGCACCCCTCTATATAACAGGGCCCCCATATACACCCAGCACCCCTCTATATAACAGGGCCCCCATATACACCCAGCACCCCTCTATATAACAGGGCCCCCATATACACCCAGCACCCCTCTATATAACAGGGCCCCCATATACACCCAGCACCCCTCTATATAACAGGGCCCCCATATACACCCAGCACCCCTCTATATAACAGGGCCCCCATATACACCCAGCACCCCTCTATATAACAGGGCCCCCATATACACCCAGCACCCCTCTATATAACAGGGCCCCCATATACACCCAGCACCCCTCTATATAACAGGGCCCCCATATACACCCAGCACCCCTCTATATAACAGGGCCCCCATATACACCCAGCACCCCTCTATATAACAGGGCCCCCATATACACCCAGCACCCCTCTATATAACAGGGCCCCCATATACACCCAGCACCCCTCTATATAACAGGGCCCCCATATACACCCAGCACCCCTCTATATAACAGGGCCCCCATATACACCCAGCACCCCTCTATATAACAGGGCCCCCATATACACCCAGCACCCCTCTATATAACAGGGCCCCCATATACACCCAGCACCCCTCTATATAACAGGGCCCCCATATACACCCAGCACCCCTCTATATAACAGGGCCCCCATATACACCCAGCACCCCTCTATATAACAGGGCCCCCATATACACCCAGCACCCCTCTATATAACAGGGCCCCCATATACACCCAGCACCCCTCTATATAACAGGGCCCCCATATACACCCAGCACCCCTCTATATAACAGGGCCCCCATATACACCCAGCACCCCTCTATATAACAGGGCCCCCATATACACCCAGCACCCCTCTATATAACAGGGCCCCCATATACACCCAGCACCCCTCTATATAACAGGGCCCCCATATACACCCAGCACCCCTCTATATAACAGGGCCCCCATATACACCCAGCACCCCTCTATATAACAGGGCCCCCATATACACCCAGCACCCCTCTATATAACAGGGCCCCCATATACACCCAGCACCCCTCTATATAACAGGGCCCCCATATACACCCAGCACCCCTCTATATAACAGGGCCCCCATATACACCCAGCACCCCTCTATATAACAGGGCCCCCATATACACCCAGCACCCCTCTATATAACAGGGCCCCCATATACACCCAGCACCCCTCTATATAACAGGGCCCCCATATACACCCAGCACCCCTCTATATAACAGGGCCCCCATATACACCCAGCACCCCTCTATATAACAGGGCCCCCATATACACCCAGCACCCCTCTATATAACAGGGCCCCCATATACACCCAGCACCCCTCTATATAACAGGGCCCCCATATACACCCAGCACCCCTCTATATAACAGGGCCCCCATATACACCCAGCACCCCTCTATATAACAGGGCCCCCATATACACCCAGCACCCCTCTATATAACAGGGCCCCCATATACACCCAGCACCCCTCTATATAACAGGGCCCCCATATACACCCAGCACCCCTCTATATAACAGGGCCCCCATATACACCCAGCACCCCTCTATATAACAGGGCCCCCATATACACCCAGCACCCCTCTATATAACAGGGCCCCCATATACACCCAGCACCCCTCTATATAACAGGGCCCCCATATACACCCAGCACCCCTCTATATAACAGGGCCCCCATATACACCCAGCACCCCTCTATATAACAGGGCCCCCATATACACCCAGCACCCCTCTATATAACAGGGCCCCCATATACACCCAGCACCCCTCTATATAACAGGGCCCCCATATACACCCAGCACCCCTCTATATAACAGGGCCCCCATATACACCCAGCACCCCTCTATATGACAGGGGTCCCCATACAACACCCAGCACCCCTCTATATGACAAGGCCCTCCCCATATACACCCAGCACCCCTCTATACGACAGGCCCCCCCATACATCTTGTACAGTCAGGGGGCCCCCCATACATCCTGTACACAGTCAGTGGGCCCCCCCATACATCCTGTACACAGTCAGGGGGCCCCACCATACATCCTGTACACAGGGGCCCCCCATACTCTATGGATCTATGCGGCCTCCCTCCATACACTATGTACAGCCCCCCGGCAGGCATTACCCGGCCACCAGGATGATGACCCGCAGGGGATCCCGGGCGATGGTGAGGATAAAGAGGGACAGCGCCGGTCCGAAGGCCACAAAGGTGCAGCCGAAAAACACGGCCGCCCCCATTCCCGGAGACTGGCCACTTCCGCCTTCCGCTACGGCGGCCGGGAAGGACACAACTCTGCGTACATGCCGGAGCCCCGCCCCTCGGCGCACAGCTTAAGAAGCCTTATGGTCTTCGCTGGTCCGGCTGTGAGCGCCCCACGGTGGTAAGGGTGAGGAACTGCAAGTCCCAGCGGGTCAGACAGGGCCTGGTGGAGGACTACAAAACCCAGCATATCAGGCAGAGGTTGGAGGGGGACTACAAGACCCAGCATTTTAGGCAGTGGTTGGTGGAGGACTACAAGACCCAGCATGTTAGGCAGGGCCTGTTGGAGGACTACAAGACCCAGCATATCAGGCAGAGGTTGGAGGGGGACTACAAGACCCAGCATTTTAGGCAAAGGCTGGTGGAGGACTACAAGACCCAGCATATCAGGCAGAGGCTGGTGGAGGACTACAATACCCAGTATATCAGGCAGAGGCTGGTGGAGGACTACAAGACCCAGCATGTTAGGCAGAGGCTGGTGGAGGACTACAATACCCAGCATGCCAGGCAGAGGCTGGAGGAGGACTACAATACCCAGGACTGTGATGCATTGGACCCCACACAGCCCAACTGAGACCCCGCACAGCCCACCTGAGACCTTGCACAGCCCACCTGAGACCCCACACAGCCCACCTGAAACCCTGCACAGCCCAGCCGAGACCCCGCACAGCCTCCTGGAAGCCCACACAGCCTCCTGAGACCCTGCACAGCCCACCTGAGACCCCACACAGCCCACCTGAGACCCTGCACAGCCCAGCCGAGACCCCGCACAGCCCACCTGAGACCCCGCACAGCCCACCTGAGACCCTGCAAAACCCACTTGAGACCCTGGAGACATCAGGCCACCACCCTGGAGCAACACAGAGTATGTAGCTTTATATTATTCTGCATTGCTGTATAATGTATTGCTGGGATTTGTAGTCCTCTATAGCTGGTGGTGGTATTCTGCATTGCTAATAGCGCAACCTGCCAGAAGCTGGATACAGCCTCCTGACAGGTTACGCAAAATGTCTAAAACAGGAAGGGGTGGGGCAAATACAGATTAGGGAGGGTGCCCGAGTTTAGCTTTGCTCCTGGGCTGCAAGAGGTCCCCCGTTTTTCATTGGGCCTGTTCGCAATTGTTGCTGCTTTTGAACATCCCAACAGTATCTGAACTCCTGTGCCCCTCAAAGGACGAGAAAGAAAATAAGATCTTTGTACTCCCCATAAAATCCTCTTCTTGGAGTCCATCGAGGGTCCCAGGTCCCAGGTTTGGGTTCATGCTTTCGGTATTGCTTTTCTACCAACTGAGGCAACTGGGTAAAGGAGGGGTCATCCTGGTCTGGTCTACTGTTTTATTGTTTTTCAGGGTCCAATCCTCTAGGTAGCAGTATAACCCAACAGTATCTGATTTCCTGTGCCCCTCAAAGGACGAGAAAGAAAATATGATTTTTGTACTCACCAAAAACACCTTTTCTTGGAGCCCATTGAGGGGCACAGGTCCCAGGTTTGGGTTCATGCTCTTGGTATTGCTTTCTACCAACTGAGCCAAGCTGGTACTGAGACTCCTGTAGGTAGCAGTATAACCCAACAGTATCTGAATTCATGTGCCCCTCAAGAAAAGGACTTTATGGTGAGTACAAAAATCCTATTTCTTGAGTGTATGGAAACCCTTTGCATCAGTCTCAGCCTAGAGGTGATCTCAAATACTTGGATTACATACAAACTCCATGCAGACATTTGCATGCTTGCCTTAACAGATGAGACAAAATGTTTCTGATGCAACTTATATGTGTTATGTTTTGTCCTCCTGTAACTTATATTACATAAATGGCAAAATCTTACTGATCACTACATACAAGACTTTATTTTCAGCTTTCACTGATCCATCGCTGCAAGCAAACAGTGCGGCATCAGGGTGACATAGACACAAGATGGCGCTCTTGTATCACAAACCCTATTCTTCATGTCTGGTTATCGTTCTGTTATATATGGCCAAAAGTAAATGGGCACACCTTCTATAGAACGTAATCCCGGGGTCTCCAGTGAAGGTTCTGTTCCTTCAACATCATAAGGAGACATTGTAGACCATTGTGCTCTTCCAGCCTTGTGGTAAGAGTTTGGTGGAGGGTGTGGAGGAACTTGAGGGGTCTACACCAAGGCCTGACTTCAACCCTATTAAGATGGTGAAAGCCTTTTTCTGTCCCACCATGACTGTCCCTTGTGCACAAGGCCAACTCCATAAAGACATGGTGTGACCAGCTTGGTGAAGGAACCCGAGTGTCCTGCACAGAGCCCCGACCTCAACCTACTGAGCACCTTTGGGATGAATTTGAACCCTGATTGTGATCCTGAGTCTTTTCATCCAACATCAGTACCTGACCTCACAAATGGGACACCCTTCAAAATCTTTTGGTAACAGTTTGGTGAAGACCCTTTTCTGTCCCACCTTGGCTGTCCCTGTGTAAAAAGTCAGCTCCATAAAGACATGGTGTGACCAGTTTGGTGTGGAGGAAGTTGAAAGTCCTGACCTCAACCCTACTCAACACTTTGGGATGTGATGGAACCAAACTTTGAGCTCGGTCTTCTCGCAGAGGATGGTTTGATGAGTTTGGTATGGAGGAGCTTGATTGGCCTACATGAACACCTTTGGGATGAATTGGAATCAGACTGTGAGCCAGGCCCTCTTGTCCAACATGGTTTGACCAGATTGGTGTGGAGGAACTCGAGTGTCCTGCACAGAGTTCTGACCTCTACCCTACTGACCACCTTTGGGATGAAGTGGAACACCGATTGTGAGCCAGGTCTTCTCATACAACATCAGTACCCGACCTCACCACAAATTCCTATAAACACCCTTCAAAATCAAAATCTTTTGGAAAGCCTGAACAAAGGCCTGATCTCAACCCTACTCAACATATTTGGATGAATTGGAACCAGACTTTGAGCTCAGTCTTCTCGCCCAGCATGGTTTGACCAGTTTGGTGTGGAGGAATTTGAGTTCTGAATTGTAGGATGTCGTTTACACACGGTCATGTCAAGCACCACTGCTCACCTTTTACGTATGTACAATATTTATATCCCTTCTTTCTGGATTGTTAGCTCTTTGATCAGGGATCTCATTCCATGCTCTCTTGTGTTTGTGTGTGTTTTCATTTCATTGTTACAGCCTCTCTGCTTCTTTGTACAGCTTTGCCGTAGATGTTTGTGATATTGAGGAACACAGAAATGTAGCAATAATTGAACATTTGGTTATATGCTGAATCCTAAAGGAGGTTTGGCCAGTCCCTCCTGTAGCCAGCAGTGTAACCCAACTGTCCATCATTTGTCTTCATCCTGTGTGCCTCAGTGAATGAAAAAGAGAACAGGATTTTTGTATCTCAACAGAACATTCTTCTCTTGGAGTTCATTGAAGGACACAGCATGAAGATTAATTAGAGACAACTGGGTTATATAACTGCCTACAGGGGCTCGCCAAACCTCCTGTAGGCAGCACCATATAACCATATGTCCATATGTCTAATTATTTCTACATTCCTGTGTCCCTCAATGCCTGATAAATAAATAAATAAATGTCCTGCATTGTTTGCCGTGGTGAGCGTAATGGTTTGTAGGCCATGGCCTAGGGCACCTCTGCTGCTAGGGGCGGCGCTCCTCATTTTGTGACTCTGTTGTAATGTAAGGTACCACCCACCTCTGGCGCCTGGTCCCGTTTTCCAGGTCCTGCCTGGAAAACGTGCAGTAGTGCGCAGGCGCGCGCGACGGACTTACGCACGTCAGGCGCACAGGAATTGCCACTTCTCCTGCTAATGGATTGGCCTATATAAACACACCTGCCATCTCCTTATTGCTGCATGATCTTCAGCTAGTCTCCTGTGTATCCCTGTCTCTGCCTTGCTGACTTGCTTCCTGTGTTTGACCCGAATTGTCTCTGACAATTCCTGACCTCTGGCCTGTTTATTGGACTCCCTTCTGCCTCCTGTTTGGTACCTCGCTGCTCAGCTGGCTTTGATTCCATGGCTTCCATTGGACCTCGCTTCTGTCTTCTGCTCTGGTACCCTGCTGCCCGTCCGGCTCTGCTTGACCTGGACTTTCTACTCTGCACGGTGTCTACATCATCCCTGGCACTCGTGCTGCTCGTTGTCACTCCTCTGTTCCCATCTTCAGGGTTGAGGGACACGAGCTGCAAGGGAAGCCTCCTCAACCATCAGCCTCCACTCAGGTACGTGACATCTGTGCTACCGCCTCCTCTATCGTTACCCCACCAGCCATCAGAGGGGCAGCTCCTGGAGAAGCAAAACCCTGCCTCCACCAAGGTGGCTTACGGAACGCAGAACAAAGCTTACACCGTTGGGTCTGAAAAGCCCCACCACCAGCAGACTTTGTGGCAGATTTACCCAATGCTTAGCTAAGGTCTATTACATTTCAGTTGGGTTATGTACAATACTCTTACTCCACATTGGGGATGTTTGTTGCATTGAGTGTTGTCTATTACCGCCAGCCCAGTGTGTGTTGAGGCAATGCCCTTTTCTAGCAGTAAAGAGAGCACCCAACCCTATTCATTACTATTGGATAAGTCAACTGCTGACCTTGTTACTTGTAAACCTGTTTTCAGGTCCTATTTCTGCTATAATGAAGCCCAATGAGGTTGTGTCGTGTATGGTTTAGTCCAGTTACATGGTGGGTTATCAGTGGAGAGCCCAACATTTCCAGGAGCCCCTGTAGTGTATAGGTGTATTGCTATAGCTGTAGGTTACCCCCACCATACCGATGACAGGTCCTTTGCCCTCTGCTTTCCTTTTTGGTCACCGCTACCACAGCACAGGTCCTCTTTAAGGGACCAAAGGTGCCGCCATTCTTCCATCACCATGAACGCACTCACCGGCCGCCTCCTTTATTCCGTCCGTTGGCCAACTCCGAGATAGACACATTGAACCGTCAACACCATTTCCGGCCTTATAAACACACAACACGCCCAGAATTATTTAATTTTTTTTGACATTATATTTATTCATATTTATATATATAAAAAATTAAATATATATCATATATCGTGTTTAAGAC